TTTCGTAGCATTTGAAACGGATGCATTGGAACTAGAAGGAGAATCAATCAAAGCACCCTGTCGTCTTCTTCTGCGGCCCATTAGTGAATGCAAAATTACTGTTGCTGATCCAAGGAGGCCAAGCATCGCTAATGCCACAACTCTCCTGAACAAATGGACCCCAATAATGGTGGAAGTACATTGTTGTTTGAAAGATTTAGGACATACCACCATCCAGACACCATGTTATCCACTCTGAATGTCCTAGTCATACGTTCTACAATGTTAGCTGGGCATTGACTGGGATCTAGAAGACTCTCGAAGAATGCTGTTCGCTTCTTCGTTTTTCCTGCAGGACGCAGGACGAACCATCCTTGATTTGCCTGAAAGTACCGATATCCTTGCAAGAAATTATTTCATTTTGTTGACTCTTTCCGCGATTGCTAATTCACCCTTACATATCTACCTTGTGTCTCACGAGAGCTCTGCTGACACAGTGACAATGGAGCGACTTTTCGCGGGCCATATGTTTAGCCTGGTTCACTGGATGGAGGGGCATATCAGACGAGACGGTCTGGCGGTCTGGCGCGACGCCAATCCTGTTTTCCCCAGCTGTTTAAGCTAGCAAGTGACAAGACTATATCATATCGTTCGCATCAGTCGCATTCCACCAATTCTGCGTCTTACCCTCTTCAGCAACTGATGAGGAAAGCGTTTTGCTCAGCAGATCCATCCCGCCTGACACGCCCCCTCATCCGCAGCGAAGAAGATGTATGCATTTGTCGCATCCAAACTAAAGCGAATCGTACACGCCACGCTCGATAAGGTGGCATTCATGTTTTGAGACAGTGGAGGACTGCAAAAAGCGCGGCATAGGATTAGATGGGAATCGATCGACTTCGATTCGCTCGTTCTCCAGAAACCCTCGAGTCGGTATATCAGTTCGATTATCGCGTAACCCCTTGGAGCGCATTATTCCTATTCGCCATTCTCCTATTCTCGGATTCTCCACCCTTTCTTGGTGTGCATTCACCTATTCTCCAAAAACGCAAACTATGAACGCGGCATTAAGCTCGCGAACGGCGTTAAGCTCACAACGTGCTAATATCGGCCACGACGGCCGGAAACAAACCAGATGCTCAATCTCTATGCAGGGTAAAGCAGAAAACTGGTACCAAGAGGAAATAACTAATTGTAAGTGCGAAGGACAATGAAAGGTGGTTACAGCGGTACGTCAACCGGATGCTCTCTCGTGCGAGGGTCTAGAGGTTTCACCCTATCGCATTTTGTATCCGAGCATGGAGGGAAAATTAAGGAAGAAGAAATAGAGAAGAAAGAAAGGAAAGAAGGAAGGAGAGAGAAAAAACAGATGTCCTGAGACGGTAGAAACGCACAGTGTTGCGCAGATAACAGAAAGCGCAAACCCTCATGCCTCCACAAGTTCCTGCCCTAGGACCTGACTGGTTCAACTCACGGACATAGGTTTATGCTGTGATTTATCGAGAAGCGATTCTAGTTGTTCTCAGCGAATTCAACCTAGAGCCGTACATGAAAATAGCAAGACTGCAGTTTAAAGCTTACCATTTTCTGGTTCCTCAAAAGCCGCGCTTCTAATGTCCTTTTCTCCAATCAACGCCGTACCTTCGTTATTGGGACACGATACCTGCATAAACATCCTTCCCTGAAACAATGATGTTTTCGATATTTTTGAAAAGAAGACAAGTATAACAAAAAAATGCCCTTCAGCTGGACATTCAAGTGTCAAAGCAAATTTCAAAAAAAAGTACAGATTTTATTTCAATGTATATGAAAATTTCTAGACCAGACTGAGACATTTTGCTCACCTTCTTCAGCCGCAACCACTTGAAGCTCACGTGAATCTCTTATAGCCACTTGCTTATTGTTTTTCTTCGCCTGTTTGCTGATTGAGCAGGTAGAACGAGCGCATGAAGCGCTTATATACGATGCGGATGCAGATCGTCTGAAAAGGTATTTAACTAATGATCGTATGGTCGGAATATACAGAGTTACTAAGAGTTTTGCGAAATTTAGAGCCGTCCACAATATCTTGACTGCCACCTCATGTTGCAAACGAAAAGTATCAACATAGTGCTGTGTGAAGCACTAGTTACATCATTAGTCGTATGCGGATGAAAGGGTGTGTCAGTGAGCTGGGTGGTGCGCGCCCCAGCCTGTTTCCCGACCCGTGTAGAATGAGGAAATTAGCGAAACAACGGGTTAAAGCATTGCGCTGCGACGAACATATCCCGGCTCGCATGACTCCTCATGATCAGGGGCGAATAGGAGCTAGCTCGACAGTATAAGGAGACACTAGTGTTGCTATAAGTATGTCGCCCACTAGCGGCAATCGCGGTTTGCCAAAAAGCTTTTCTTGCGACGGCGTTCACAAAAATTTTTGCGTCAGCCCCTACGCCAACCAGTTGTGAAGCGTTCGAGCGCACGCCTGCGCCCACCAGCGACTACAGAAAGTATCTCGGTAACAATTCGCTGGTTCGGCGGGGCACTACCGCGAGATCGATGGGCATACGGGGGGGCGGCGAGGGGAGGGGGGCAAAAAAGAACAGTTAACTTTCCTATCATTGACTTTCGACCTTATAGAGCGCTATAAAGATTACCTTTATGAATTCTGAACTCGGACATTTTTACACCATATTTAAAAGCTGATATAAATACTATCTAATGATAGGTCCTTGCACAGCCTTTGGACGAGCCGCCATCGAGAGATTCTGGCCACGGAGCCGCGATGTCGGTGCTCTGAAGCACCAGCCGAGATAGTCGATTCTCGCCACGTAGGCCACCCCTAGAATTGCGCCCGAAGCGCCTTGCGTAATGTGTGGACATATCCGTGCGTCAGTTGTGAAACCTACCTCTGGCATAGTTTCTACCCTTCCTATTAGGTATTCAGACCCACCTTCCAGTGCCAAGTTTGGTCTGCGAGTTTCGACATAGGTCCTCTTCGATTCTCATGTGGTCGGCACCAATGCTGTAGTCAGTAACTAAAGTTTACAAAGAAGTTGTACGGGCCGACGACATGTGAGCCGCGAATTTTCACGAGTTTGCTCGATGGCTAACGCCATAGTTGTCTCGTCATCTATGAGTCCGGGGCTACGGGGAAGCAAAATATGCGGTCTTTCCAATCTCAGTCCTCGGTGACATACCATATATCCGCGCCTTTCGGCGACTGTGTGAAGATGATGTCGAGACCTGGGCTGCGTGTCGGAGCTGCTCGATGTTGGAGAGCTTTCCAGATGCGAGTGAGTACTGAGTCTCCAGGTCAGCATCATGCCATGGCTGACCTTCAGTACATACGAGCTTGTCGCACCTACGTTCTTGATGTTACCATGCATGTCAGACGGGTCTTTCTCACAGTCAGGTACCCGACTGGAGGATGACTTCGATATTTAGTGTACATGATGGTGATGCGCGAGAGCCTATGCTTCCTTCGCTCTTTTAGAGGGAAATCTTGGGGTATTCGGCCTTTCGGGTCGTCACTCCGCTAATTCAATCTCTGTCTGGGCAGCGAAAACTTTGCAGATATGTGACTCGGTCGAAGTGACTTTTTTTTGCCCCCCCCCCCCCTGTATACTTCCCTAGTCGATGGCGCGGGCGTACTCGAAAGCGCACGCTGACGCAAAGCATGAACGCAACCAAAGCTTCAACTTTCCTGCACACATAATTCCTTCGGGGGTTTTTTCCGTGCTGAACAGTAATAATAGTGGAAGTTGCAAAGACATAGTGCTAGTAAGGGGATGAGGATTTTTGCCCAACATAGGGGGACGGAGTTGTGCGGGTGGTGAACCACTCAACCTATATGGCAACTTCTTCACTCCGGAACTAGGGCTAAAAGTATTTCATGTTGACAGTGAGAGGAAAGATGCCTTCACTAAAATACGTCTTATAGCCCACTAGCTCCGCTGTACACATTTCCGTTGTACTTTTTTGCCATATAACATGTTAGATGACCAGTTCTTCCCAAAAATTTCAAAACAATGAGGGGTATACTCACCTACAGTGCCCCTTTCGAAAAAGTAAGAGTTGCCCGATCGAGTAAGCTGACCACTCGCTGAAGATGGACTAAGATCGCTATAGTCCATATTCTTTGCAATTCTCACCATTTCCTTCTTCACCAACGTGGAATGCATGATGAAAGGCTCATCGCCTACAGTACCTGGAACCGATAATGAAATTGCTTGTTGGAAATCGTGAGCGACTAAATCCTTAGAGGCACATTCTGCAATCCCAGAACCCTTCCCTTGCACAAAACAGTGGCGGCTTAGATATTTATGATAAGAACGCTATGCACCCGTAAAGAGGGCGATGCTCCGCCCACTGTCATGTGCTGCAGCATACATTCGTTTCTAAAAGCTTTGTGGTGATGGAGTTCCTACGCTGCAAGCTCTTTCTTCGCGGATCGCGGAACATGCCTTTAAGTATCAGGTGTAATATTGTGTATAACTTCGAACCTAGATAAAACAACGATTCCGATCTAGGTGTCGCACCCGCAGCAGAACCTGGCCGTCCATCAGTTATTGACAATGTATGAATATTCTCTGTGTTGAAAAGAGAAACCTAAACGAATCATCATTTTGTAAGTCCAAGATATGCTACACCAGCAAAGATCTCACCTCACTCAACTCTCCACCCTCTAACTTCCAAGTATGCGCTATGTGGCTACCGAGTTGACGAGACCACAACTCGTTACCACATTGATCATAGGCCGTTACGATTCCGTCCGGAGGTTGCACAAGATATCGAATCCTGGAAAGGGATAGTTAGATATCGAAAGAGGGTGGAGATCACATTATAACCTTACCTAGCACCTCTTGGGTAAAGCTCTCCGCGATTTAACGTGACCAGCGTCGCATCGTACTCCGACACAGATAAATTCCACCTACAGCATAGGCATACATATTTTTGAAGGGAAGCAAAGATTCGAGATAGCTTGGTAAACAAAACGGAACTATCACTACTTACCTTTCGTGACCAGTTAATGCATCAACAGCACGAACTTTACTGGTACTTCGACGAAAAACAAGCGTAGATGACACCGGATCGGTCACAAGGGAATCGCAATGTGAAGATGAACAGTGATAACGCACCTGTTCGAGACAAAGCACTTATTATTGAGATTTAATGAGAAAAAATAACAATAATCATCACGAGGTCAAAAGTCTTGACTAAAGGCGGAACAGGAACCCGCACATCACGCTTACCGAGCGAGTTCGAGTATCTGAAGCGTGACGCTCGGGTTCCAGCCTCCCCTGGAGTCAAGACTTTTGCCCATAATTCAATACTGTTGTAATAACATTAAGAGCCCGAACAGCGGCGTCAAACAACACTGATCATCATGAAACAATTTTAAAACTTGTTGTAATTACTATTAAGTAACAAGGCAAAAGGAAAATACCTCTCCAGTTAAGGGATCCACTCCAGTAGTGGATATTGTACGTCCTCCTGCCACTGCATCATGACCAACACGAATCGACGCCTAGATCAACAATATACTCGATAAAACTTACTATTTAAATATATCACTTCAGAAACCCAGTTATCACATAACAACCTGTAACACAGGCAGAATCATAAGTGATACTACCCTATTTTCAGGGGTTAAAGGTGCAACTTTGCGTCAAAAACCGCGCATTTTTCTACTCGCCTTACCCTGCGGTTTTTTTGTAAGTTCTCTTCTATATTAATCGTGACCTCTCTAACTAAGAGGTTATAGGCAGAGATTTCGACCCGGGATCTCCTGCCCTCTTCGCTTGAATCTGAAAATGCCAGCTTCCTGCTGTGGAATAAACACACTACTTCACTTTCACAGGAAGCCAGCATATCGTACGAGTAAAGCGGGACTTAGAGCTCAGATCTCTGCCTATTTCTTTCTTTCGTGGATGGGCACC